CCCTTCCCCCTGCCCCCGCCCTGTGTGAATGTACGGCACTTTGCAGGGGGGGGGGGAAGGAAACTTCGCACAGTCCTCCCACCCCCAGGCCAATCAAGGCATGGGGGTGGGGGAGTGTGTGACGTCTCCTCCTGCCCTGCGAGGAGCACGTAGCACTTTGAAGTGCCATGTGCTCTTCGCAGAGTGGGAGTAAGTTTTGTGCACGCCCCCACCCGCAGACCTTAATTGGCCTGGGGGCGGGGGAGCAGCAGTGCCTTGGCAGGCCGGATCTGACCCGCAAAGGCCCTTTTGCCCCACCCCTGCACTAAAGCCAATGGGGGAGTTTTGTCATGACCTTCAGTTGGGCCAGCGTTCCACCCAGCAGGGTTTTACTGTTCTTTGCTCTGTGAAATCCCTGTCCTGAAAGCTTTGCAGCTGAAATATTGGTAGTTGCCCAGATCTGGAGCTTTCACCTGCCTAACAGAACTGCTTGCACCAATTTGGTTGTTGGTTTTGTTTATTTTCAGGTGTTGGGAGGACATACGCAAGTCCCCGTCTTGGTGGATCATCAAAATTCCTGTTGTGGGTTCTATTTCGGTAACGTATCAGCCACCTCCACTGGCTGCAAAAGCCCTCGTTAGTGAAAGCTCAGTGCCGAGGTTATGCACTGGTGTGTGTTCCGTAAACGGCATATGCCAATAGTCAGACATAGCTGGAGAGACTCACTAGAAACCAGCATTGCCAAGCATTGTCTTCAGGGCATGGGCCAACCTAACTAATGAGGGGGAGAGTTAGAAAGTAAGTTTCTTGGGGAGCAGGTTATCTGAAACTGGCTAATGAAGGGCTTGTTGTACGATCCCCTGGGACAGCTGGTGCTGGCCATTCTCAGAGCCAGGATACTGGGTTAGTGGATCCACAAGCTGGATCCTGTCTGGCAATTCCGGTCTCCTACTGGAACTAATGCAAGAAGAACAGATGTGTCTTTAGTCCCATTTCCAAAACCAGTCCACACTTTAAGAAATGAGTCTGTTCCTGCAAGGTGTTGAGCCCTGCCTGAGGGCGACAGCCTTCCCAAAGGAGACTTTGGGTAAACTAGACTCCAGTAAGAGTTGAGGACTCTTGGGAAGTGTCATGAGGCATGTTGCACTTCGGTCCTCAAGCTCCCTTAACACTTCATCCGGCAGCATCTGGGAGGAATGGAAGAGAACTCAGATACTGCAGTGGTGGGTGAGGAAACCTCTGATAGCTGGAGGAGCCTTTCAGCTCAGTCTCATCCTGAGATATTTAAGCCTTCCCCTGATGGAAATGTCCTAAAGATTTTAATTTTTAAAAAATCACTTTTCCGTAAGTGTTTTGCATCATCCGTTGGAGTCTAATAGGAAACCTGCTATAGGTTTTGTAGGTTAATTTCTCAAGGGGCTTGATCTAATTGCCACTGAAGGCAATGGGAGACTCTGACTTTTTGGTCTTTTTGTGAGAGCCAGAAGAGACCGTAGAGCCCCACCATGTTTCTAAAGAATCCATCCTTGGTTCCATCCTTGTTCCATCCTTGTTGATTCCATATAACGTCTCTGTTTGGGTCTCCAACAAACATGGGTACATTTGTGAGCAAGGGTCTGATAGACTCCTAGAGCTGGAATAGACCTTAGTAGGTCATCGAATCCAACCCCTGCCCAAGGCAGGACCAACTCAAACTAAATCATCCCAGCCAGGGCTTTGTCAAGCCAGGACTTAAAAACCTCTAGGGATGGAGATTCCACCATCTCCCTAGGTAACCCATCCCAGTGCTTCCCCACCCTCCTGGTGAAAGAGTTTTTCCTAATATCCAACCTAGACCTCCCCCACTGCAACTTGAGGCCATTGCTCCTCATTCTGTCATCTGTCACTACTGAGAACAGCCTCTCTCCATCCTCTTTGGAACCCCCCTTCAGGAAGTTGAAGGCTGATGAACTTCAGTTCAATATGGCTTTGAGTTTATTCCCCAAATGCCAGGCAAACACATGGGAGGGAAAGGGAAAAGGAAAGAACAGCAAGCCCTGGTCAGCACTAGGGAGTTATTTTGAAATAACTCCCCTTATTTTGAAATAATAAGCAAAGCGTCCCCGCTACCAAGTCTGTTATTTTGAAATAACAGATGGGTTATTGTGAAATCTGAGTTCCTGCTTTCATTAGGGAACAATGCTTATTTTGAGATAGTGGTAGTGTGGACATTCTGTTGCTGTTATTTCAAAATAACTACTCCCCAGAGTTATTCGAATTTATTACTCGCTAATGCTCTCTTAAGTCAAGGTAGCACATCCATAATAAGGGCATGTTTACACAGCAGGGTTAAACTCAAAATAAGCTACGCAACTTGAGTTACACTAATTGTGTAGTTTAAGTCAAAATAGCTTATTTTGACTTTTGGCCCTGTCTACACAGTAGTTATTTCAAGACAGAGCACTCTTCCCCTGACTTCCCTTACTCCTCATACAATAAGGGTTACAGAAGTCAAAGTAAGAAGTCCTCCGCCTCAACATTATTTCAACATTATGTCAAAATAACTGCTTGTGTGTAGACATAGACTATGGTATTTTGGAATAACGTCGGTTATTCTGAAATAATGCTGCTGTATAGACATAGCCTAACAGAGCCTGCCTCAGACTAATTTGTATATTTCGCTATTTCGATTTTGTTGTTTCAGGAGTTATTATTTCAAATTTAATCCTTATCTGATGTGTGTCAAGATATTAGTCCTGCTTTTCTCAAGGGGTTGGACTCGATGACCTGAGGTCCCTTCCAATCCTGTGATTCTATGATATTTGTCTTTCAGAATGACTGGCAGATCCGTTTTTCTCTTTTCTAGCCTATGTCTAGACTACAGGGTTTTATTGGGAAAAGATACGCAAATTGCGCTCTGCAATTTGCGTACCTTTTTCCAATTCTTTTTTCAGAAGAGGCTTTTCTGAAATTTGGCCCGTTTACACTGGGCCAAATTTCAGAGAAGAGCCCTCTTCCTTTTGGAAAAAGGAAGACAGGTCTTCCAAAAGAGAGCATCTACTCTTCTGCAAAAACAAGTGGAAGAGCAGGCACGTTCCCTGGATGTGGCAGAGTTTTTCCAGGATACCTCCCGGAAAAACCGCATAATCTAGACATAGCTCCAGTGTAATCTCCTTTAGAGAGAAATACACTCTATTCTCCTGAAATGGAAGGACTACTACTTTGACTGTTTTGTTCAGTAAAACAAGTTTAAACCTTTTTTCTCAACACAAAACAGACCCTGTCCAGTAATTATTACTTCTTTTTGCACTCATCAAATAAATAATCACTAAATCCTGTCCACTTGCATTTAACGGTGCCTTCCCTGTTCATTCTCTCAGCCACCCGGGGCTTGACACAGTCAATGCTATATGCTGCAGAGATGTTTGGGAAGCCGCTCAGGTCTTCTGTTCAGTTGCTATAATTCGCATGGTCCTGGAGCTGATTAGAATGCGCTCCCGTATCTAAGTGCCTGCGTGTCTGGGACAAGTCTCTTTTCTTCTAGCTAGAAAACATGATCGGAGACAATGATGAGCAAAGTGGGACAGATAAGATTAGGGTAATTAACGATTGGCACAGCTTGACCAAGGGCTGTGATAAATTCTCCATGCCTTAGATAATTTAAATTAAGAGTGGATAACTGTCTCAAGCCACATCTTCACTACGTGGAAGATCAACGCTGCCAGGGTCGATCTATCAGAGTTTCATTTAGTGAGTCTAATAAAGTCCTGCTAAATCAAACTCAGAGGGTGCCCCCATCAGTACCAGTACTCCTCCTCCTCACAAGGAGTAAGGGAAGTTGAGGGAAGCATTTCTCCTGTTGACCTCCCAAAGTGGAGAACACGCAGAAACTCAAATTAAGGTACGTCGACTCCAACTATGTAATTAACATAGTTTGTGTTGCGTATCTTAATTTGACCTTCCCCTGTAATGTAGACCTGGCCTAAAAGAGAGGTTCTCTGGCTCATGCACAAGTTGATGAGTGAGATCTAGGAATCTCTAGCCTGTGCTATGAAGGGCTCAGACAAGATGAGCATAATGCTTCCTTTTGGCCTTTCCATCTGTAATTTAAGAATCACTTGGGAGGTCAATCATAGTAAAGGAAAAGGAAGGAGATTTTGTGCCCTTGAAATTCACATCTGGGTTTCAAGTTTTCACTGGTATGTATCATCTACTACGTCTCAGTTACACCAAGCAGCAGCATTTGGTGGTTAGGGCACGGGTGTGGAAGTTGGAGAAACCTGAGTTCTAGTCCTGCCAATGACTGTGTGACTTTGGGTGAATCCCCACCTGCCTATACCTCAATTTCCCCTGTCTGCCTTTACAGATCACTTTATGGAACTCCTTGCCAGCGGATGTGGTGATGGCTAAGACTTTAACAGGATTCAAAAAAGAGCTAGTTAGATTCAAGGAGGTTAGATCTATCGATGGTTATTATCCAGGATGGGTAGGAATGGTTCCCTAGCCTCTGTTTCTCTGGAAATGGGTGACAGGGGAGGGATCACATGAGAATTACCTCTTGTGTTCCCTCCCTCTGGGGCATCTGGTATTGGCCACTGTCAGAAGACTGGGCTAGATGGACCATTGGTCCGACCCAATATGGCTGTTCTTATGGTCTTGTGATCCTCAGATGAAGATCAGAGTTGGGATTATAAAGATAACTCAGGGACACCAATAGTTTTATACTTTTACCTAGTCTGGATTCAAAGGCAGTGTACCAGTATTACCCATGATGTTCATAGGTAGCAGGTTTAAAACAAACAAAAAGACATATTTCTTCATGCAGCGCACAATCAACCTGTGGAACTCCTTGCCAGAAGATGTTGTGAAGGCCAGGACTTTAACTGGGTTCAAAAAAGAGCTAGGAAAAGCCCTGGAGAATAGGTCCATCAATGGCTATTAGCCAGGATGAATAAGAATGGTGTTTCTAGCCTCTGTTTGTCAGAGGCTGGAAATGGGTGAAAGGGGAGGGATCAATTGATGATTACCGGTTCTGTTCATTCCCTCTGGGGGCACCTGGCATTGGCCACTGTCAGAAGACAATATACTGGGCTAGATGGACCTTTGGTCCGACCCAGTATCACTGTTCTTATGTTCATTCCTTGCTGCCTAGCTCACCAACATGTATATGGAGAAGGCACACCTCGCGAGGCAGACCAGAAGCCTGTTTGCAGTTCTCTCTGATCCCGTGCCATGTATCTAGTTTTTGGTGCACTGCCCCATTCCCAGTCTGTGACGTGCCCAGCAGAGAGGCCCGTACTGCCGTCTACCGTGGGCTATGACCTCCGTCGCTCAACTAACCGAAAGCTCTAATCCCGCCCCGTCGCCGGCCCCCCGCGCAGCAGGACGTCGTGCATAGCTGTGCTCTATGGGCTTGACATCATCATACTTGAGATGTATGACACAAAGTCCCAAGCAGGCTGATGTCAGGTCCAAAATGGCTGCCATCCTGTCTCGGTTTACCATGGGCACACAGAGTGGGGTTTTCTGCCTGTAGCTTGTTAACAACGGCTCATTCCATGGCCTGATCCTTGAGGCAAAAGGAATGTCCTCTAACAACCAGCTCTTTTCATGGCAGAAAGCGAACTGGGTAGTTTAACCCTGTTTTTTTCTCTCTCTCTCTCTTCTCCTCCCCATCAGGTGAACTTCATCCTCTTCATTTGCATTATCCAAATCCTCGTCCAGAAGCTGCACTCTCCAGATGTCGGGCACAACGAAACCAGTCAGTACTCGTAAGTCCCAGAATTGTTTTTGCCTCAACCATACAGCATTGATGAGACTTGTCAGGCAAGGCTGTTTGCTTCCCCAGAACCATGCTCTCTGCCTCCCTTTGATTGATCACAATCAGAAATGAGCTGAGTCGATCAAAGGTGTCTGAGAGTAGGGGATTGGGAGAAATGCTAAAATAATCAAGCGTATTGCTGTCAGACTGATCTTTTAGAAGAGTCAAGAGCCTCGCTCCTAGGAATAGCAATGAACAAGTGAACTGCATGATGATGCTTCATGAGAAGAAAACAGGTGCTTCATTTGTATATTCCCCATTAGCTAGCTTCAATTACAGCGAGGGGGGGGGGTGGCTAAAAGATTCCTGAGGCTATGGAGCAAATATCCAAAGCCTCCGTTGGTGTCTTGAAAGGACAAAAGTTCCCACCTTGCATTGTTGAGCATGCAAGAATGAGTTTGGCTTCATACCTGAAATGTTCTTGCACCGAACTACACGGTGTTTCAAATTCCATGCTTGAGCTGTATCCTTTTGGACAGTTTGGGTTGATAAAAGTGGGTGCCCTTCCCATCCAAGTCGCTGGATTTGTGCCTTCGTACACCATGGCTGAATTTGTCCCATAGCGCGAAATATGACCCTCAGGTACATCAGTGCAACCTGAGGGACGTCAGTGGAGTTGTGCAAGTGAAGCTGATGGCAGGATTTGGCCGTCAGTATCCAGACGGCTTCAGCCAACTTCAGGGGTTTGGTCGAGATGACCCAAGAGACCAGTTGTTCATCATACCGGTGAATTCTTCCTGCCAAATCTGAGATTAGATGACCCAAGAGGCCAGTTGCTCATCATACTGGTGAATTCTTCCTGCCAAATCTGAGATAAGGATTTGTTTCAGTCTAACAGATTCTGGGATTTCACCCTCCTCTCTCCCGCACCCCCAAGTCAGCACTGTTAATTGAAGAAATAACTTGTTGGCACATTGACAGTGACTTTTGATGCTTGCCAGTCACATCCGAGTCCAAATCCCAAAGCCCAGGAGCGCTGCTGGCTCATTCATTAATGCCACAGCCATGGAGCTGCACTTCAATGGATTGTAAAACGGGAAGAGACTCCTCCTGGAAGAGCCTTTTGCAGCGGACAAAGCCCCGTGTTTTCTTTAACTTCACACTAAATTAGTTCCATTGTCATTCTATTCTGCATAACCTGGCTAGTCATTCAGTCATAGATGTAAAAGTAGCCAGTTTCCTACAAAGGAATTTCACCACTCAATTACAGCGAGAGAGAACCTGGCTGGTCATTCAGTCATAGACTTAAAAGTAGCCATTTTCCTACAAAGGAATTTCACCACTCAATTACAGCGAGAGAGTGCAGAACTAAAATTCATCTACAACTTTGACACTGTTACCCTGGGCTTGAATAAAGACATTAACTGGTTAACACATTACAAACCTAATTTCCCCCACCTTTAACATCTTCATTTTCACATCAAAAGCTATGAATGGAATACATCCAGCCCACTTAATTAGCCTCGTTAATATGAGTCCTACAATTGGCATGTATTTCTTTTGCTAATATAAATATATATCTTGGTTTCTGTGATTTTCACTTCAACTCATCTGATGAAGTGGGTCTTACCCACAAAAGCTCATAATACTGTACATTTCTGTTAGGCTCAAAGCTGCCACAGGACCACTCATTATTTTTAAAATTAGACTAACACAGCTACCCCTCTGAGACTATTCTACATAGGTTCTTATACCACTTTCATTCATGCAAGCAACCTACTTTAATATCTGGCATGTGAGGGTCATTTTTTTCCTCCTCCTCTCCCGCAGGGAGCTGGGAGCAGGGAATTGTGTGTGCAGTAGTGTGGTGGTAGGGTAGGGGGGAGGTTAATGCACACACTGCTATGTGTGTGCGCTAGACAAGGCAGATGGAAAAAGTGTTCCTTGTACTTGCAGTGGAAGGTGGTGAGGGTTATGATGGTCCAATGGTCCTTAGCCCCAGGGGGAGTTCATGCCACAGTGTGGGCCCGGCCCCTGAGAAAGCTCTGTCTCCTGCACACATGAGTTTTATTCTTAGGCTATGTCAATGCTACAAGGTTTTTGCACAAAAACTTGTGGAGCGTCCACACCTCAAGCACGTTTTTGTGCAAGAAAATCGACAGAACTGAGGGCTTTTGCCAGTAGAGTTATTCCCTCTCCCTACGAGGCATAACTCCTTTTTGCACTACAGTTCTTGCACAAAAAGGCTGGCGAGGATGCTCCTGAGGGGTTTTTGCACAAGAGACCCCTATCAGCAAAAGCATAGGTGCTCTGATGGCCATTCTGTGAATGGCCATCAGAACTGTCTTGCGCAAGAGTGTCCATGCAATGTGGACGCTCTCTGGCACAAAAGCACATCGCTTTTGCAATGCACTTTGAGGTCTGGACATGCTTTTGCTCAAGATGCTTTTGTGCAAGAACTCTTCTGCCAAAGGCTTCTTGTGCAAAAACCCTGCAGTATAGACAAAGCCTAGAAATTGCATTGTGCCAGAATTGTCTGCCACTATATTTATCCCAGGGCATTAGTCAATCTTTTGGATATCCTGGATTCAGGCCATTGAGTGCCTTAACAAGAAGGACTGAGACTGAGAACTTGGCTCAGTATAGGAAGCAGAGGCCAGGTCTGGTGGCTTGTGTTAGCGCATCCTGCTGAGAAGAAGCACTGTTGTTTTCTGCGCCATTGGAGTTTCTCTAAAGCAGATGTTCTCATCCCGTGGCCATAGTCCAACCAGATGGTGACAAAGGTGTGTATAACCAAGGCCACAGCATCACCTGTCAGAAGGGGGTGGAGTTTCCTAGTCACTGGAGGTGACAGCAAGTGGTATTCTAGGGAACGGTGACTGACGTCCATGGAATTCTACCGCTTCTAGCTTCATGGCCCAGAGAGGGAGGGGACAAAGCTGGGACTCCTCGCTCTTAAGCCACAGCGCACATTTTTCTTTCTGACAGGAGGCTGGCCAAATCCACCCTGCTGTTGATCCCGCTCTTTGGCGTCCACTACATCATGTTCGCCTTCTTCCCTGACAACTTCAAAATGGAAATAAAGTTGGTCTTTGAGCTTGTGCTCGGCTCCTTCCAGGTGGGTCGTCCCGGGGGCCTTGTCCCAGGCCACCAAAAAGTGGGGGGAGTCTCTCAGAATAGGGGGGGCCTTCATAAGGAAATGGAGGAACAGGGCTTCACCAGTAGATGCCCAATCTTGCTCCCACTGGAGTCTGTAGAGGTTTTGCCTAGGACTTCACTGAAGGCACGGGGTGCTACGGTTGTGCATTCTCACACCATCTTTCCCTCCTGGCATCCCAATATGTTTTAGTAGCATTTATTATTTATTACTCCAATAGCTTTATTGGCTAAATCCTCTGGTCTGTATTCAGATACCACTCAGGCTGCACTCTGTTAGCTCCAAAGGGAGGCAGAATTTCAATTGATGGCAATGAGGCTTGTTGCATGAGCTAATCCAGAAGGAGATGGTGAGAGGCAGTGTGGCCTAGTGGATAAGGCACTAACCTGGGATTCAGGAGCCCCAAGCACCAGTCACTGTTCTGCTGTGGTACAACTTTGGACACGACACTTCCCTGCCGGTGCCTCAGTCTTCCCAGCTGTGAAAGGGGGAGAATGATACAACCTTCCTTTGAGGCCTGAGGCTGGTGTGAGATAGGGATGAAAAAAAGCTGTGGGATATTTCCATTATTTGACACCTACATACACGGATGTCACTTCAACCGCCCTCAGCATTCTGCTCCCCAGGCAGGTCCCCAGTACTGCACAGAGATTGGCATTCACTGATGGACTTCCTCCCAGTGTGCAATTGGCTTCACCCAGCCTACTGCCTTCAGAACTGCCTACGTGCTTTATCACGTACTATACCATGAAATCACTAGCAATGCAGACACACGACTCACCATTTCACAGCTGAATTAGTGTAACCCACACACCTAGGCTATGTCTACACTCGCAGCTTCTTGCGTGAGTAATATGCAAATGAGGCTAAGCATGGAATATCACTGAGCTTCATTTGCAGACCTAATGAGCTAACATTTTTTTCAGAAGAGACTCTTGCACAAGATGGTGCATCTACACTGCCCCTTCTTGCACAAGAAAAACCCTCTTGTGCAATGCCATTCTTCCTGAAAAGTAATAGGTATAACGGCATTGCGCAAGAGGGTTTTTCTTGTGCAAGAAGGGGCAGTGTAGATGCACCATCTTGTGCAAGAGTCTCTTCTGAAAAAAATGTTAGCTCATTAGGTCTGCAAATGAAGCTCAGTGATATTCCATGCTTAGCCTCATTTGCATATTACTCACGCAAGAAGCTGCGAGTGTAGACATAGCCTAGGTGTGTGGGTTACACTAATTCAGCTGTGAAATGGTGAGTCGTGTGTCTGCATTGCTAGTGATTTCATGGTATAGTACGTTAGCTCAGAGGGTAGAGGCTCCATACTCTGCTTCAGAGGTCCCAGGTTCAAATCCACCTGGTGGCAGTTCCATATGGTGATGGGTGGGGCAGTTCAGAGCTCTCATTCCAGGCTGCCTGCAGACTCAGGTATACATCCTGAATCGGTTTGCCAGCTGTTCGCATTTGCAGTGTTATCTCCGCAATTGTAAGGGCCAGAAAGTGACTTTTTTTTTAAAAAGAAAGCCAAGATTCAGAAGAATCTAATGTCACTGTCACAAAAAAGTCACAAAGTCACCCCCTGGGCATGACACAGCCTGAGTCCAGTCCTGCATGTTAGTAAAGGAGCTACAATCAAGCTGCCTCTATCTATAATGGGGGGACTGTTAGCAATTTCCAGTGTCCAAGGTTCTGACCAATTTAAATGTTGCCGTTCGGGTGGTTAGATTCTAAGTGCTTGTTCTCTCTTCCCTCCTCCCAGGGCTTTGGGGTGTCCGTTCTGTACTGTTTCCTCAATGGGGAGGTAAGAGCCACAGGGTGACGTGAGTGATGGAGATGGGCAGACTGAGCAAGGTTCCCTTCCTTGCATCAGCGCACTGGGGCAAAGCTCCAAAAGAATCGCATGTTGAAGCAAACCAGCCAGGCCATTTCCAGCTGTGGCCAGCAGATACGGGCTTGGCATGTGAACTGCAGTTCTCTGAGGCCGTATCCAGAACAGGCAGCAGGGGGAGGGTTCCCTCCCCCCCCCCCCCCGATGTGCCTCCGTTCTGACACTGCGTGACCACGGTTGGGGGTGAGGGTGTGGCCACTCTCCAGGCTTGGCCTCTTTGCCGAGCCTGGCTCTGATCCTGTTGAAGCCAAGCAGGCTTTTGCCCTTGACTTCTGAGCAGCAGGATGAGCCCCAGGCTGGGGAGTGCAGTGAATTTTGTAGCATGGAGCGTGTGTCCTCTGGAAACTGGTCTGAAACTCACCAAATGTATCTCATAAAAGCCCCTGCACAGATGTGGGCTGGTAAGAACTTTTACTTTGAGCAGCAATCAAGCCAGCAAAGAGCGCAATGAAGAGATGGGGACAGCTATACAACTGAGAGCAGAGTTTATATCCCACCCTCCCTATTAGCTCAGGGACATTTGGGGATCCCTCTATAGTTCATCCTATGATTTCTGGCCTGAGAGTGCTGAAAGCCCCCTATAATTCAATCTATAGTTGACAACTGCACCCCCTAGGGCAGGGGTGGGGAATTTCAGGCCTGGGGGCTGGATGCAGGGAAAAAATGTGTTCTTGAAGCTCAATAGTTAAGGTCATTAGAGGCTCTTCATTGTAGTAGCCACCCAGCCCAAAGATGGCTCTGTCCCTTCCTGGTGTGTTTCTTCATTGCAGGCCACTTAACTATAAAGGTCTTACTCACCGATATAGTTCAGAGCCATTTGTGAATGGGTCCCTTTTGGTCCTTAAAAGAGAGGGTGGTTCTCTTTATCCAACTCAGTGCCAGTTTTCCTTCTCCAAAGCACCATCCTTGACTTCCCACATTCAAGGTCTGACTCATTCACACTTCCACCATAGTCATAGACTCAGAGCCAGTTATCAGCTTCCAGTAGGAATTTAAGGACACTTAAGGCTACGTCTAGACAGCAGGGCTATTTTGGGATACCGGAAGTATCCCGCAATTGCAATTCCACGTCTTTAAACACGCCCGTTATTTCGAAATATCCTTCAAGGGTTCCGCAAGGGTTAAGAGATCTGTCAGAAATAGCGTTTTATTTCCAAACGTGGCACTGTGTAGACAGCGCCAAATTTCGAAATAAGCTATTTTGAATTTACCTCGAAATAAGCGACGCCATGTGTGCAGTGCAAATGGCGTTGCTTATTTCAAGGGAAGGGTGCTGTGTAGACGCTGCCTGAGGAAGGCAGCTTCCCCATTGCTGCTCAGAAAATGAAACCTGAGCCGCAGGAAGGGGTCCTATCCACTAACGTGCTTCTCCGCCCCCGCTTAGGTGCAAGCTGAGCTGAAGCGGAAGTGGCGCAGGTGGCACATGGAGAGGTTCCTGGGCTCTGACATGAAGTATCACCACCCGTCCGTAGGAAGCAACGGCACCAACTTCAGCACGCAGATCTCCATGCTCACCAAGAGCTCGCCTAAGACTCAGAGGGGCTCTAGCTTCCAAGCAGACTTCTCTCTGGTCTGAGGGGGAGAAATGCTCACGCACCGAACCCAGGAGAGAGAGAGAGAGAGAGAGAGAGAGAGAAACGACCCAGGACTTTGTTGGAAGCTGAAGAGTTGTTTTTAAACAAGACGCTCCCCATGGGTCAAACAAAGGACACGCAACTGGAAACGCTGCTGAGCTCCTGAACAAGAAGAGACAAGTCAGGACACGGAGAATTTTTTTCTTCTTTCCAGACCTTCAACTACAGGCTTATCCCTGGGTGACGGGGGAACATATGCAAACTGGCTAGTAAACGTGTGCATGACTCCGTCTTGCCTGAGAGGGCCTAGGAAATTCTGAAAGGCTCGTGAATGGGGGGAGCGTGGGGGATAATTATTGGCTTCCCCAGAGCCAACCTCTCGGAAATGAATAGACACCAAGCACTTCAAAATGAGCCAATGAGGGAAAAAATTGCTTTCAATGTGCCAAGAGTCCGACCTGTAAAGGACAGCAGTGAGACAAGAAGGGGCTACAAACCAGAGGGGGAAAATGTAGCAGGGCGCAGCTCTGTGCACTTCCATATGCATTTCACGTTGCTACGAATCAGCTGAAAGGCCAGAAAGTCATCTCATCAGCTCCGGAATCGGAGTGGAATCTGCAGCTCCCCGACAATCTGTATAGCCCTTGTTAATAAAAAGCTTTCAGAGTTACCTCCTCCATCGACAATGCCTCCGAAATGTAGCTTGCTGAGGAGCTAAAATGTAAATGCCCTTTTCTGCACTATTCTCATTACGGTGTCTTTTTAAAAAATGGGACATGATAAACTTGCATGTCTAGGGCATGAAAACAAAGGATCAGTGCCAACTCGGTTACATGGCTGTGTTTCCCACAAAAGAACCCCCCCTGTGATTAAGACTTTGCATATTTGCATAGCAGGAACATGGCTGTGTTTCCCACAAAAGAAACCCCCCTGTGATTAAGCTTGCTATAAGACTTTGCATATTTGCATAGCAGGAGTCTTTTGGGGATTTGTAGGAAGGAGATTGGTTTATAATACTTTGGTACCTGAATAATGCACACAGTGGGGGAGTGGAGATTTCAAACTCGTGTAGTGCTTGATTGAATCTGACCCTCTGTCAGGAACCACTAACCAGAATGAAGAATTAGCTTAATAGCAGTTGGCAGAATTGGCCTCAACTTAGGTCCACCAGTAACTGGTGCTGCCGGACTTTGAAATAGTCAAGGGGGAAGAGTGACACTCTCAAATCGATCCCTCCTTCAGTTATTCCGGTCGGCTTTTATCCGCCAATGAAGATGTTTCAGTGAAAATCATTTGATTTTCAATAAGTGTGATACCATGTCGGCTGCCTGCTTGTTAACCACCTTTTCGTGTACATATCAGGGAATGAGCCCCATTTGAAGTGTGTACATAGCTCGCAAAAACACTCGTGAGAATTTTCCTTTTCTTTACATTTTTTTGGGGTGAATTTAAAGCTGCTCCAAAGTGACAGATCGACAGCCCTGGAAACCCAAAGTCCTCTACTTACACTCTGGGTACATCTAGACTGCAAGCTTCTTTCGAAAGACAGTGTCCACACCTCAAAACCGGATCAAAAAAGCAATCTGCTTTTTCAAAAGAGAGCATCCAGACTGCATGGACACACTCTTGAAAGAAAGCCCTGATTGCTATTCACAGAATGGTCACCAGGGCACCTGTGCTTTTCTTGACTGCCTCTTCTTTCGAAAAATGTCCCTGTTCTGCGTCCGCACACGCCTTTTTTTGAAAGAGCTCTTTCAAAAAAGGCATTCTTTCTCATAATTTGAGGTTTACCAATGATGAAAAAACCCTACATTCTTTCAATTTAATTTCGAAAGAATGCGCTTGCAGTGTGGGCGCAAGTGAAGTTTTTTCGAAAAAAGGTCTTTTTTTTAAAAAAAAACAGTGTAGTCTAGACATACCCCTAGAGAATCATAGAAATCATAGGGTTAGAAGGAACCTCAAGGGTCATCTAGTCCAACCCTTGGCCAAGAGGTAGGATTTGTTGTGTCTAAACCAGTGGTCCCCAACACAGTGCCCACGGGCGACATGGCGCCTGCGAGGGCATTTGTGTGTGCCTGCCAAGTGTTCAGGGCTGGCCTGGCCCCAGGCGCACGGCGCTTGGGGG